TAAAAAAATTAATCCGCGTCAACAATATAGAACTTATCTATAAAGAAGAGTTGTTTGTGTATGAAGTGTAATGAGAAAAAATGCCAATTTTATTCTAAAGCACTTAAACTACCATATAATTTGCATATATTTTTTTTAATTTCTACATTTAGGTACTCTGAAGAAGTTTAAACGAAATGTGGCAGATTTCAAATTTCAACTTTATGCATTTTAGCTTATTTTGCAGTACTCACAAACGCTTATTTGCATCAGCAAATCAAACGCAACAATTAACCTTCAGGTCGTTTGAACATGTATTCTCAGTGTACAACTAGTTAAGAAATTATTTGTCTATTGGCGGTAGTTGGAAAAAAATCCTTGTTTGAAAACTACTGAATAATTTCACTCATTCATGCATTTCACGTTCAGTCTTTAACCGTCGAAAAAATCGATTAATTTCCACTCTATGGCTCGAAAGAAATATCATACTTCGATGCAATTCTAAAGAAATGTGTTATTCCTAACAGAAAGTGCGTTTAAAAATGGGTTTGCACTACGAAACTACTGCAAAAAAGGGTTTGCTTTTTGTGTGAAGCACTTTGTGTAACTAGTTCTTCATTTTTACTTAAGTTTTAATTTTCCGCCTATTCTAGTAGTTTAGATTTACATTGCTTTTTTGCCGGTTAACCCCCTTTAATCCCAACAGATATTTTCCGTTAGCACAAAATAATTAGAATAGGTATAGCCAAAAGATGGTTTCTTGTCAATTTAAAGAAGTTGAAGCCCTTATAAACAGAACAGGTAGATAAGCGCCATAAATTGAATCTGGAAGTTTCTAGCATAGAAAATATAAGATGATTTTGAGGTCATCGCAGAAAAAATCGCAGCCTTGACCATAATGAATTGGATATGAACGGTAAATCCAGCTTATTCAAAATTCAGTTAAATTAAGCCTCTAAACGTTCATGAATTAAGGCATTTTCAGATCTGCTGATCTAATTCCATTTCGGACTGAACCAAAACCAAGGGCTGGCAAAGTGAGCCGCAATCGTCTCGGTCCGGGTTTCTTGCTAATTCGTTCCGGAGAGATCCAAAACCGGCATTAAGGGGCACTGGGGCCACAATTGGGCCTTAGATAAGTCGCCCACGGTTAGCTTTAATAGAATGCTTTGCATGCTGAACGGCGCCCACGGGACAGCCATCTACATGGCACTGCTTACGTTTCGCTACATAAGCACCGCAAGCTTATTTCCAGTATTTTCGCAGGAGATAATCTAATTTTGCGATTTACATATCTATATACCAACAGTTCACGGCATCTAGCCTCATTGTGTTGAAATTAACCAGAAAACTTGCGGTTACACGGCATTTCAACCCGTGTAAGCCAACGAACGATATTGAGCCAGATTGAGCAAGAAAACAGAGAAGTTTTGAATAGCAACTAACACGTCTAGGGTGTAGATAAGTTCTATATTGTTGAGGCGGATTCATCTTTTTACAAACTTCTTGTTGGGTATTTCGCCTCAAAAATTTTTGTCTTTAAAAAAGACAGAATTTCCTCACCTCTTTTACTACAGATTGATAAATAGTGCTCCTATTTCGCAATAAGAACGAATTATTTATCAAAAAGTAATCAAGAACTATCACCTAGAGGGTATC